TGGAAGAAAACCTTATTCTTAAACTTTGCAGCCAACATCGTCCAAGCATTTCCCTCCACGCGTAAGACAGTCCGCAGCTCCTCAGTGTGCGTTGGCATAACACCCTTGTTGCGCTGCTTCACAATCCTCACATGACCACCTGTATCGACGGTCGTCTGGATCCCCATGGTGCGCACCCGCCTCTTTGAAGTCACTTCGGACAGTGCGCTAGCAGTGATCTCCCCATTCTCAATTTCCTCAAGCTTAGCAGAAATGTAATCGTCTGACGGCTCAAAGGCCTCCTCAAGCGTCCCATGTGCTGCTTCATAAGCAATACGCATAGCTTGTTTCTCAGTCTGTGTAACCGGCCGATGCACCCCCAGCATCCGCGCCTCAGCTCGCAGCTCTGATTCCTTGTGGGCGTACTCCTTCGATGTCTCCCAAGCCGACACCACGGACGCCACTGCCGCCCTAGTAACCTGGCTCGTCGCCTCAAGCGAATGATCATCACGAAGAGCAGCTCTCACATCCGCCCGAGAATCAGCATAAGTGGAAAACCGCTTCACTGACTGGAAATTCTGCGTGAGCTTGTACTGCAGCCCCAAAGGCACGCCACATTCTTGGAAAATGTGCACCAAATCTGAACTCACCTTCTTATCAAGATAATCAAGCGCAGCCGCTTCCGTGACCCCCGTTGGGAGTTCAGCCGCCATGGATCAACGAATGCACCAACCTCACGGGTGAAGCTCTTAAGAATCACTCAAGCAATCAGAGCTACCACTTCTCAGATGTCATCGAAAATTCAGCAACAAGTTTACATGCAATCTTCTCTCAATTCTTCGAGCCTTTCCACCTGACTCGGATGTGAACAAAGTCATGCAATGTCATGCTAACTCAGCCGGCACTCCACCGGCACGGCTTTCCCTTTCAGTCTTCACTCCCTCCCCTGCACTCCACCGGCAGGCCTTTCTCTTCCGAACTACACTGCACTCCACCGGCAGCGACCCTTGCTCACGTGGCCCTTTATGCGCGCACACATGACCGCTCAAGTGAAACTTCACTGATCATCCCGGGCCCCTTCTGAAGCCTGACCCCGCTCTCCAGGGCCCGAGTCCTCAGAGCCACTAGTTGAGGAGGCATCCGCATTCTCAATCCTCGGCCTACACAGCTTGCACACCGCATCTGCGATGCCGTCGGTAATCCGATGAATCGGAACAGTCTCGAGGCAGTTCTCTCGCCTGACTGCGCACTTCTTCGAGAGATGCAGTCTACGGAA